TGCAGAATGCTTCAGTTGAATGTCCCGACCTTTACTGAGTGTCGGTGTGGCGCAGGGTCAAAGGTCAAACCTCTGCAGAACACACACACACACACACCTTATTAAAAGTAATTTAAGGACTCTGAATGTTTGGTAGCTTTGAAAAAAGTGTCAGACACTTGCTGTCTGGCATTTAAATATGAACACACCAAGGTTCAGGTAGTGAGCACAAAAATTGAAAAACAAAACCCATTTTTGTTTATTTTGATGTAAATACGTCATAATGTAAGCAGACTGAAGGCTCTCTGTGTTGTGATTGTGTTTGACAGGAAAACGTTTCTCTGTTGTGTCTCAATGTGACGCTTCACTGATCACTTTCACCCGCACGCCTTGACCTTTAACCCCCAACACACACACACACTCACCTCAGGTTGTGTGTTGTCGGTGACACGGCTGCCATTGCGGCGTCCTCCATGTCAATATGCCAAAACAGGTTGCATCAGCGCGCTTGTTTTGTTGACCTAAGCAGATGAGGCGGGTGGAGAGATCATGTAATATTGATGCTGCGAGCTGAAACACAACTGCTCCCCTCTGAATGAGCAGAAAAAGTTTAGTTTCAATGAAGACTTTTTCAAAATATTACACACATGACCGATATAACACACTACAGGAAGAAGAAATAACCCCAAAAAGCAAAATAGGACCCCTTTAAGTACTTACCCAGAATAAATGGTCGTTAAATGAGGAAGCTTAAAAGAACCAAACTACTTTTAACTTAAAGTCTATTTTGAGTTTCAAAAAGTATTGATTGGTATGAGGCGAAAGCATCTTAACTGAGTGTCAAAGCCTCCAACAGGTGACACGCTGATGAAACATAATCATTTAATGCAGTTTGTGTTTCTGTGTCTCTCGTTGTTTGTTGTGTTGACTCTGATATGATGCTGCTGAATTATTCACCATATTTTTCGGCGTCCTGCTGCTGTTGTTTTTTTCCTTCCCCTTTTTTCCAGGAAGCTGCTGAAGCTCACAGATCGACCTAAAAGCACTGACATCTCAAGGGGCGATCACACACTGTGTGTGTGTGTGTGTGTGTGTGTGTGTGTGTGTGTGTGTGTGTGTGTGTGTGTGTGTGTGTGTGTGTGTGTGTGTGTGTGTGTGTGTGTGTGTGTGTCGTCCACACTAGAGAGCAGAGAGACAACCTCGACCTAGATACTGAAGGAACAACCAGAGGAGGGTTCAAGGAGACGAGGAGGAGGAGGCAACAAATTAAGAGGTAAAACAGCAACAGAGCGAAAGGACAAATAAGGAGAAACAGGTCCAACAAAAGGAGAGGGAATGACTGGGATATTAAATAAGAAAATGAGGAGGAAGAAGAGATGAAAAGGAGGTTGGAAAACTACTAAAAGAAAAAAGAAATCTAGGGAACAAAGACGACGGAGAAGTGAGGAAAATGTCAAGAGGATGAAAAGTACTCAGAACTAACTACATGTAGAGAAAGAAAACATATGAGGAAAATATCAGGAAATAAGAGGATAAAAAACTAGTGAATGATAAAGAAATGTTGGGAGAGAAGAGAAGATTTGGGTGATGAAGACGAGAGAGGAAGTAAGTAAAGAGGAAGAGGAGAGAGTAAGTGAAGAGGAGTAGTGTGTTTGGAGGTCACGGCCTCCCTCCTGTGGGTCTGATAGATCCACACTGACAACCAGAGACCACTGGAGACACACACACACACACACACACACACACACACACACACTCCCAGTTTCCCTCGAGGTGTTTTCTTTATCGACTGTGGCTGTGTCTGGAGACTCACATACACAAACACACACACACACACACATACACAGTCACAAAGGTCAGAGGTCAGGCTAGATGTACAGATGGCAGGTTTTATGTCCACCAGAGTGTGAAAGGTCAGTAGTACTGCAGTACACAGAGTGAAAGTACTCACGCTGTAAACTAAAAAGGCAGTACAGTAGCAGTAGTGGTGGTGGTGGTAGTACCGCTCATCTCAATATATACTCAAGTTTTTTGTAAATGTACCACTTTAATCTCAGATAAGTTTCTATTTATTTCTTGTATGTTAAGGAATTTCAGAATATAACCTAAGTATTTACTTTTTAACTGCAATGGCCATAATAGTAGTAGCAGCAGTAGTAGTAACACTTTCACTAGTTGTAGTTGTTGATGAGATGAACATTATTAATAATCATAAATGATATTGACGTGGTGACGGAGCCTCAGGCTGACAGCGCTGACACTCGATGATGATGAAGATGAAGGTGTTTATTCAGAGACGTTGTTCACACTCAGTTTTTTAAGTTTTACGTGTGTTTATGAATATGACCTCAGTCCGAGCTGCCATGTTGGATCTGAGGAGCGGCGAGAACGAGCCGCCACGCTGTCGCCTTCATTAACACCTCCATCCCACACACACACACACACACACACACACACACACACACACACACACACACACACACACACACACACACCTCCTTCAGGACCACTGTGTCTGTCTAAACAGATTTTGTAAATATTAGAATTTTCTTTTTTAATCAAGGTGTGAGTGTAGGAGAGTAGGATGATTGACAGCTGAAGGGCGGGACCTGTCATCAGGTTCTCACAAGGAGTGTGTGTGTGTGTGTGTGTGTGTGTGTGTGTGTGTGTGTGTGTGTGTGTGTGTGTGTGTGTGTGTGTGTGTGTGTGTGTGTGTGTGTGTGTGTGTGTGTGTGTGTGTGTGTGTGTGTGTGTGTGTGTGTGTGTGTGTGAGATTACTGACCATTGTGTTTAATCATTTTTGTTTCAGATGGAGCTGTACCGCCCCCTGCTGGTTGCTCTTAATACTGCATACAGGTAAGAAATGCTTATATGATTATACCAAATTGATTCAAATATGTATTTACTGACTTAACAATTTATTATTTGTATTTACTTATTCATGCATTCACTTATTTATCTATTTAATTTATTTAGTTACTGACTTAACAATTTATTATTTTTATTTATTTATGTGTTGGTGTATTTATTTATTTACTGACTTAACAATTTTTGTATGTATTTATTTATTCATATATTTGTTTATTTATTTACTGACTTAACAATTAACCATGAATTATGAAAATAACAAATAATGGTAACATTAGTTGAAATTTATTTCAATTTTTTTAATATATATATTTAAAATGTAAACGTACAGAAATCCACAAAGACAATCTCTAGTAAGAATGGAGTGAAAGTGAGATGAAGATTGAGTGTTGTAGCAGCAGGAGGTAATCCCTGCAGTCCTCGGGGATTAACGATTAGCGTCTTCATTTCTCACTGTAATCCTGCTGCTCTCTGAAAGAAACACAGGAAACAACTGCAGAAAATATTTATACACACATACACACCATCTGTACTTCACTTACCGACACCTAAATACCTTCTGATGGTAGATTATCTCCTCTATCTGTGACACAGCGGGAATTATGAGAAAAACTGTTTTATTTTATACTACAGAAGAAGTAGAAGTACATGTAAGCACAGCTGGATGCAGTACTCTTTAGTACATCTAGTAATACTTCTGTGTAGAAATACTATGTAACAGTTACTGAAAAGAACTACAACCAAAATGTAAGTAAAATAAATTAGCACTCATTCTGCAAAACTCACTATTTTAGAATCATATAAATATTAAAATATTGTAATATAACATAATTATTTATACATCACTTTTTTATCATTTCATTTTGTGGTAAAGGAAGAGATAGTTTTTTAAATATATTTTCTTGTATTATTAATTGTTATTAATCTGAATAAAGTTGTAACGTATTATCTGGCATCTCCAGGTGTGTGTGTGTGTGTGTGTGTGTGTGTGTGTGTGTGTGTGTGTGTGTGTGTGTGTGTGTGTGTGTGTGTGTGTGTGTGTGCGTGTGCGTGTGCGTGACGTGTGCGTGACGTGTGTGTGTCGGGTGTGTGTGGGTAAAGTGTGCAGCAGGAAGGTAACTGATTAAGTTTCCATTATTATCGAGATAAGGAGGCTGCTCTGAAACCGGATCTCTGCAGGAACTCTAAACCTGCTGCACTGTAACATCTCCATCTGAAGAGATCTCCAAGTCTCCATAAAAGAAATGCACATTATGCTTATTATTGATCGATTATTGATCATTATTATTGATCATTATTCTCTGCACTTAAACATCCTCTATTTCAGTTTTGAGTGTGACAGAGACAGAAGTGCTAAGATAATAGAATTACACTCGCACTGTTCGGCATTAAGTAGATACAACGTAAATGCTACTACTTATAATGCAAGACTTTTGTAGCTCACTAATAGAGGTAGGTTTTTTTAAAGTCACTAATATCCCGAACACTTTCCACGTTATTTCTGTATAAACAAACAGCCACAGTGTCAAAGATGTGCAGCAGATACTGCAGGCTGAGATGAATGGAGGTGGAGGTCCGGCGGCTGCAGAGTGCTTCATCTGTGTCGGGGGGGGTTTATCCGTATTAGTGTAATCTTTCCTTCTGTGCCCAACAGGTCCGCTCATCATCCTCCATCCTATACACCCCGCGTCATCCTACAGACGTCACATCTGCTGCAGCTGGATTTATATCTGTCAGCGAAGAAACACAGCTAGAGCTTCGTTCACTTCCTGACTTCTTTATTTAGTTTTAGGTTTGATATCAGGTGTTTTTTCTGTCCTAATAATCCTCCTGTAAATACTGCCTATAAACCGCCTTCAATCAAAAGATTATAAGCCATTAAAACAAAATCAAACACTTATTGAGTCATCTGAAAAAGTTGCAGTAATTAAATACAGGTAGCTATAAATAAACCTGGAGATAAAGACCCTCCGCTTCAATCAATCAAATCCATCCTGACTCTAATTCTCTGTGGCCCAGTTTCACTCTCTTAACCCCCCTCCCTCCTCTCCTCCTTCTTTAACCCCCTCCCACAGCGCATGGTGAATAATTGACGATCTCTCCCCTCGCTGTGTATCTTTCCATCTCTCCTCTCTTTGTGGTGTCTCTCGTCGGCTGACAGCGCCTCCGTCATGTTCCTCCACCTGCCGCCGGCTGCATGCTGACCGCCGTCTGCAGGAGACACAGCTGCTGGTAAGGTTATTGTTTTTATTTAAAACATTTTCTTTATTGGATTCAAGTTGTGGAATATATTTTTCTTGTATTTTAAATTGTACAACTTTATTTATTTTGTTTGACTTTTTCTGTCACAGCTGCTGGTAGAGAGTCATCGGAAAATGAATCTATTATTATTAAGTACTGCATCTGTTCTTCATGTAAATGTTACTGCTATATCACTTATACTATTGCTTTTTTAAGGTTGTACAGTTGAACTTGTTTTATCAGAGCTGCTGATAGGAGAAAACATTATAACTTTATTTGTATGGGATTAAAGTTGTACCATTGTATTTTATTAATCAAGAGGGATCAGATATATGAAAGGCTTTCTTTAGCACTATGTTATTCCGTTGGGATTGTTCATGGTTTAAAACGCAGGCAGTAAAAAAGACCTCCACCCTGATGAAAGCCTCTAACGCTGCCAGCTGTTTGCATTAAAATCATCAGTACACCCGACTGAATACAGACTGAGATGCACTTTCTCCTAGAGTGTTTAAACATCTTCCTTACACTAAGTCTGCACCTTTTATTTTCTAATCAAACTTAGCGTTAGATAATACCTCATATGCATATGGAACAACACAATCATAATATATATTTGTTAAGCTCCTCTGTGTGTGTTTTCATCCGAGGTGGGAAGTAACTAAGTAGGCTACATGTACTCAAGTACTGTACTTAAGTATCATTTTAGTTTTTTTTTATGCTACTCTATACCCTACTCCACTACATTTAAAAAGGAAATAATGTGACTAGTGGACTAACTCTTTAAGTCACAAAAGAGTCAAATCATTTAAATCAGAACTTTGTTTTTCTGCAACAGTAAGATGCTTCTTGATGCAACAATATTATATAGAAATGTCACATATATAAATATAATTATATATAGGCATTATTTCTGCACAATGATTACTTTTTTTCTTTAAGTACATTTGCTGATAATACTTTTGTACTTAAGTACGATGTTGACGCAGGTCTTATAACTTGTAATAAAGTATTTTGACAATAGTGTATTGGTACTTTTACTCAACTGAAGCATCTGAACACTTCTCCCACCCCTGGTTTTCAGAGAGCCTGGGAGCCATGAAGGCAGTGCTGCTGCTGCTGCTGCTGCTGCTGCTGCTGCTGGCGGAGGCGTCCTCCAGGACTCACAGCAGCTGGTGTGAGCTGGGCTGCGACTGTCGAGGAGATCTGAAGTTCACCATCTGCTCTCGGGGGCTCTTCACCCAGCTCCCCTCCAGAGTGCCGCCCTACACCGAGCTCCTGGACCTCTCTGACAACCTCATCTCCATCATCCCCGAGCGCTCCTTCGACAAGAACCGCAAGCTGCGCGTGCTTCTGCTGCAGAACAACAACATCAGCGTGGTGCAGCCCGGAGGCTTCTCCAAGCTGGAGTTCCTGCAGAAACTGGACCTGAGGTGGAACCGGATCTCCGTGCTGACCGAGGGGTTCTCCGCCGGGCTGTCCTTCCTGCGGGAGCTGCAGCTGGCTCACAACCGGCTGACGCGCCTGGACAGCCGCAGCTTCCTGCACCTGGAGGCCCTGCAGAGGCTGAACCTGAGCGCCAACAGCATTCGCTCCATCCAGGTGAGCAGGTACTGCACTAAGGTACCCAGCCTAGGGAGTAGCTTAATACATATAACTGTCTTTAATCTGATGACTTCTTCCCCCTCTGCAGGTCAGAGCGTTCGCTCCGATGAGCAGCCTGCGGAAGCTCCACCTGCAGGACAACCGGCTGACCTCTCTGCGCAGCGGCATCTTCTCCATGCTGCGCTCCCTGGAGGTCCTCAACCTGGCCGGGAACCAGATCAGCGACATGGAGATGGGCGTGTTCACACCGCTCACCAGCATGTCCCTGCTCAACCTGGCTGACAACAACATGTCGACGGTGTACTTCAAGACGTTCCTCAGCATCCACTCCTACACGCACATCCTGCTGGAGGAGAACCCGTGGAACTGCGACTGCGACCTGCAGAGAGTTTTCCGGAAGCTGCGCAGCATCCAGAGGCTCTTCCTGGACGACTACTACAACCTGACCTGCGCTGAGCCGCCGGTGCTCAGAGACTACCGGCTGATGGACGTGGACACGGAGCTGTGCCTGTCTGAGACCGTCACCGTGCTCATCATCACCTTCACTGTGGTGACCACCTTGCTGGCCGCCATGCTGATGGGCGAGAGGAAGAGGAAGAAGAAGAAGAAGAAGACGACGCACTGGACGCAGCAGGGGGAACATTCTGAAGAGTCTGACTACTGAATCTGTCTATTTAAGTTTCTTATTTTCTGGCATTCTAGCAATATTTCCAGGAAACTGTTGCTCCAGTAAATATCTCAGGAACATCTGCATGGATAGAGATTTTCAATTCTAAGTTCATTTGTCTTATTTCCCACATGCCTCACACCGAAAAGAGTCTGAAAAAGCTTCTAAAAAAACAAAACTGTAGAGGAAAAATCTGCTGCAACATTTTCTTTACAGTAAATGCATTGTATATTTTCACTGCTTTATTAGTGCAAAGGTTTTATTTTCTCATCTTAAATGTTTGAATCTGTATATTTTAGTTATGTGTATGCATTGTGATGCATTTACACATGTTTCTGATGTGACAATGAGTTTGTTAAACATTAAATGGGTGTTTAATGTGACATTTTAGTGACTTTAAAATATACTTTTTCAACACAACATTTTGAAAGAGTCTTTAGCAGCCCCTGCAGGTCAAACAGATGCATTGCTTTTACAATTTGATGACATTAGTTTTGATAGATGTAGCTTTAAATGCATTTAATGTTTATTATTACTATTAATGAACTTGCTTTAATACAACCATTATATCACTCTAGGGACATGTGCTTCAGTGGTAACATTATTTTCATTTGTCTACTCTACTGGATTTTTTTTACAGTGTTACATGTATCTGTGCAGAGTGATTTTAAACGGAATTAATGGAATGTATTCAATATGTTTTCATAATGATTGATGGAAGTTCCCCCCTTGAACAGACATGCTGGAGCCCCTCAGGCGGAGTCTCATTGCTGCTTCAAAGTGAGAGGATTTAGCACTGAAGGGGACCGGATGTTCACAAAATAAAAGCCTAATATATATTTGATATAGGGATGTATTAACTGTTTTTATCATCAGTTATTCATGCAATTATTTCATTTTTCACCCAATTCATTGTTTGTTCCGAAAAAAGTGAGACGTATAGTTTTCCAAAGCTCAATTGGACGATCGAAGTGTTTTTTATTTCAAAATAAATCAATATTTTATCATATAACACAGATTATTGGCATATATGGCATATTTTATTTATTTTATATATATTGTTTGTGGTCAAATAAGATTTCTATATTAGCTAATCACTTCCACAAATAATTACATCAGCTCTAATTGTATTTATTTAAATATTTAGGGATGGACAGATGTGCTTATTACAGGAAATACTTGTTTTTTTAGACATTTAACTGAAGGAAATACATGTAAAATAAATGAAATGTAGTATATTGTGCAGCCACTTGAAACAAACTTGTACAAATTAGTTCAATTAGATAAACATCCTTCGCCTTTTTTAAATATAATGTGATATAATCATAACAATGGCTTTTATTTTGGAAGGGTTTGCCGGAAGTAGAAACATCCAACGTGGCGGACTTGATTGTCGGAGGACAGGTGGGAGCTCCGGACGAGCTGCTGTTGTTCCCAATACAAAGAGAGCAGAGCCGGAGAAACACTTCACATTCACGTTAAAATTAAAAGGTTAATTTACAGTGTTACATTCAAACTGTATCCGCTAAATTAAAGTCGTATTTATGGCGCGTTTCGTTTGAAAAATGTTCGACAAAGGAGGGAGAAATTCAACAGAAACTGCGCAGTCATAGATTAATGGGAGCGGTAACCTGAGCAGGTAAGAACATTAATACGTTTATTGTCTAAATGTGCTGTTTTATCTTGCTTCAAGTCATTTTTAAATACATTCGAGAGTTTAATTGAGGTCCCGAGCGGCTAAATGACAGCAGGTGCCACGTTAAGAGTCATTTCAAGCACGTGAAACCGGTTTCCTGTGCTTTGTTAAATTAGTGACGTCAATTTGGGCAATACATGTCATTTTTTGTATTTAACTGTGTTGTTTTTGGTGTGTTTTACGGGTTAAATAAGACAGCTTTGTTCAAGATAACATATTACTTCCGCATAGGACCATCAGTGACAGTCAGTGACGGATACGCGGTTCCCAAACGTTGGTCCGCGGACCAGAAGCTGTTATTGCAGTTTGCATGTAACTTTACTATTGTTTCATTTGAAAGGGGTTGATACTACAGTATAACTTTACTTTTTAAATAGGATTTCAACATTTCCAAAAAACCGACATTATTAGATATTCCTATAAATATGCCAGACTTATCAAAGAAGCTTTTTTTTCATCTGTAATCCCTGGACAGATGTTGTAAAGTCACCTTAAAACACATTTTATTTAAGTTAATAAAACTGCATTATTTAAATAGACCTGATCTGAACTAAAGGTGGGTAAATTATGGTTTCAAATATGTTAAAGTGAGTTTTAAAAAGTGTAACTATAGATCATACAATATAGTACTATAAAATGTTAAAAGATTTGGATGTCTGTTTGTTTTATTATTAGGCATTCTGTTAGGGACAGTAAACATTCGTTATCACAAAGTTAATTAGCACTAGAGGACCCTATTATCATGTTTGCCTGACATACTTTTGTTCTGACAGAGCAGACAGAACACATTTAGCCTGATTTGGTTACTGAGTGATGGTGATGCTCCATCCTAATTTCCTTATCTTCCAGATATGCCAGCTGAAGACAAGGTTGCCATCCTGACGGAGGATGAGGAGGATCAGAAGAGGAAGTATGTGTTGGCCGAGCCCACCGAGGATCATCCGGCAGGTGCTTCTGAGACGCCACCGCAGACCTCGGTCTCTCAGCCGCAGCAGCAGCTGGCTTCCTCCGACTCCATCGACTGCTGCGAGAGGATGTGCCTCCGCATCAACATGCACCTCCTCATCTCCAAAGTCTTCTACTTCTTCTTCTACGCCGCCTACGGCTCGCTGCACCCTCTGCTGGCGTTGTACTACAAGCAGCTCGGCATGTCGGCCAGCCGCAGCGGGCTCCTCGTCGGCATCCGCTACTTCATCGAGTTCTGCAGCGCCCCGTTCTGGGGGGTGGTGGCCGACCGCTTCAAGAAAGGGAAGGCCGTGCTGCTGTTCTCTGTTTTCTGCTGGCTGGTGTTCAACTCTGGCATCGGCTTCGTTAGACCAGCGGCGATGAAGTGCATGATAAATCCTGCACCTGTCACCACGACGACTACCACGACGACTTTCACGACTCTCCCGCCTGGTAACTTCACCAGCGGCTCCACCAACCGCAGCAGGAGTCGGCGGAGTGTTCTGGACCAGTCCGGGCTTCACAAGATGCTAGACTCTTATTTTCCCGTTTTCCACAGAGACAAGCGAAGCGTAGACGCCAACGACACTTCAGCTCCTTTCAACATGACTTTAGCTCCTTTTATTCCGGCTAACACCACCCAGCTAACGCCTAACACCACCCGCCCCACCACCACAAGCACCACCACAACCTCCCCTGCTCCAACCAAAGCCAAGAAGCATGAGATCATCTACAACCAGGACCAGGTGGAGAGCCTCTTCCTGCTCATCCTGCTCGTCATCATCGTGGGCGAGTTCTTCAGCGCCCCCACCCTCACCATCGTGGACACCGTCACCCTGCAGTACCTCGGGAAGGCCCGTGACCGCTACGGCCTGCAGAGGATGTGGGGCTCCCTGGGCTGGGGGCTGACCATGCTGCTGGTGGGCATCTGGATCGACCACACACACCTCATACCGGTGATCGAAGGCCTGGGCTGCATAGTGCCCGAATTCCGCAACTACCAGATCGCCTTCATCGTCTTCGGCGTGATGATGACCATCGCGTTCATCGTCGCCACGCAGTTTTACTTCGAGGACGGCAGCGAGTACCAGCAAGAGGTCCCGGAGGCGGTGGTGGAGGACAGCCCCAGGTCCACTCCCGAGGAGCAAACTCCCAGCAGCCCCGGCACCAGTGCTGCTCAGGAGTTCCACTACAGCGACCTGCTGAGGCTCCTCAGCAGCGTGCGCTATAGCTCCGTGCTCTTCGTCGCCTGGTTCATGGGCTTCGGGTACGGCTTCGTCTTCACCTTCCTGTACTGGCACCTGGAGGACCTGCAGGGCTCCACCACGCTGTTCGGGATCTGCTCCGTCCTCAGCCACATCTCCGAGCTCGCCGCGTACTTCACCAGCCACAAGTTCATCGAGCTGGTCGGACACGTCAGGTAAAATACATACTGATTTTTATACACACAAATGTTGCAAAAGTCGTGGATTCTCTCTGAAGATCCCCGACAGAAATATTGCACACATCATTTTTTCCAAATGTAATTGGGGGAAAATGTAGTTTTTGAAATATACCTTTTAACTTGAAAATACAGAACAAAATAACCTTTTAATGTTCTCACTATTAAAAGATTTCTAATAACATATTGAGATCTTTTTAGTTATTCCTTATCCTTCTTAACATTCTACACATCCTAAGGAAATACAAAAAACATATACATTTGTTTTAAGTTCAATTAAATGTCATTTCAATCTTGAAAATGTTTACTGACTTCCTCAACTTTTAGCACCTGATCTGCCTTCGATACAGCCTAATATCCCCTTCTTGCTTCACACTGAGCCGTTAAATCCTCTCTGCAGCAGTGGTTAAAGTGGATGTCTGAGACAAAGCTGTCATTGATGCTCGGGGTTTCTGTCAGAGTCGCGGGCTCCAGGGACATTTGAGAGTGAGGTGTAAGATTTCAGCTCTGAAACGTCCCTACTGTGGAGTCTGAAACAGCAGAGAAAGTCCCGCTGCTGCTGCTGGGGTTATTAATACGCCTCAAATGAATCCCAAACCAAAGCCTTTTTGTTTCTTCCTGAACAGTGTGACATCACGCTATAAGACTTGCGCTCCTATTGGCTAGTGCTCCAACACATTCTACGTGATAGGCTAATTTCTACACTAGTAATACTAAAACATTCTGTCACAAAACGTTCACTTCATGCATAAGAAAGCAGAGAGTAAGTACAAATAAAACTGTCCATAAAAACAGGTTAAAATGGAGAGATTAACTTCAGTCTGTTTTTCACTTCTGTCTCAGTTTTAGGCAGTTTAATCTCCCACCAGTGTTTCCGCCAGACCAGGGCTGAGAGGGGGGGGGGGGGGGGGGGGGTGATGTCACGTCGTGTCACGTCGTGTCACGTGACTTGAATTTTGAATTGAGCCGTCCCTTAAGTTATAGATACTGGGGGTGTTTCTCAATCGCGAGTACGCTTGCTTGGTAGCACATGTCTGCCGAGCATCTTGCTTCAGAAGCGAGTCAAGAATACTTCCTGGCATTCGGAAAACAAAGAGTGGAACACGCTAGCAAGTGTGCAGGTGTGCGTCATATGAGAGGCCCCGCCTTACATCTTCCACCACAGATTTGGGGAAATTGGTCCATGCGCAAAGCATTGTGGGGATTTTAAGACCGCGGAGTCTACTCATGTGCAGACTCGATATTTCTCCAAACGGAGTACGCCGGGCTCGGTAGATTTCCAAGTATGCTGGAGATTGGAACAGTACTTCGGCGGCACTCGATGACGTAGTATGCTTGAAATAGTGGCTCTGAAGCAGCTTTACTCGCGATTGTGAAACGCCCACTATCTCTTTACGTATTAATGATGGGAATTCCGGCTCTTTCTAGTGAGCCGGATCATTTGGCTCGGCTCACGAAGAAGAGCCGGCTCTTTCGGCTCCTAAACGGCTCTTCAGTTTACCACAGAGCCTCAGTTTCGCCACTGCGAGGCTCCGGCGCTCGCAGTTCACGCGCGTGCTCCTCTAGCACCCCCCGTCAAGGCTCGCCGGCAGTACACTTTCCGTCACAGGAACACGCTTTGCTGGCGGCGAAAAGAATCCCACCAGACTCCTTTGCCCCTCCAACAGAGGGATGTCCTTGTCCTTTTTCCTTTTCGTAATTTAAAGCGATAAAAACACGATCTTCTCTCGAATTATTATTTTTTTTGGACGCCCTCGGCTCGAGTTCAGGGCGTTCCGAGCTGAATAAGGGCGTCAAATGACGGCAAGACGCCCCCCTGGCGGAAACGCTGTCTCACGCTGTCTCACACTTTATCACTTTCTCTTCATGTTGTTCAGTCTTCAGAGGAAACTCACTTCCTGTTTTACTGACTGCAGGAAACAGCTTTTTAACATCTCACTTGCTGTTGTGTGAGATGTAGAATATATTTCTATTTTCATGAGGTTAATAAGATTTAACCGTTTTTTCCAAGCGGTCATTTATTTCATTTCGTGCATCGTGTTCTTTGTGTGCTCGGCAAACTTTCTTTGGATGAACAAACACTCAGTAATCTTTGTCCTGGGGAGAACAAATACGAGAATGTCAGGGAGAGCTTAACAACACTTACATTAGACATTTAAAGACCTATATTAAATACTGCTTCCACCTCTGTTCACTGGAGAAACACTGCTTTATTATCTGTTTAAGTCCACACAGTAATATCTGTACACCCCCTATCCTCCCTCTTCTCCTCTCAGGGTGCTGTACATCGGCCTGGCCTGCAACACGGCGCGCTACCTGTACATCTCGTACCTGCAGAACGCCTGGATCGTGCTGCCCATGGAGGTCCTTCAAGGTAACGCTGCTCCGTCTGGAGGGAGGCGGGGGGGCTAGGACCCCGCCGTCAGGACAGGAAGTGGCTATGTTTGTCCAGCAGCGCTCTTATCAGGAGGCTCGTTTCCTCCCATTGCCTCTTTCATTATCAACAAGTCATTTATAATAATAGCAGGTAGGGCTGCACGATATATCGTGTCATGACGATAATCGCGTTATGCGCATGCGCGATATTCACATCGCAGGACATGCAATTATTATTTTTTAGGAGGTGCGATATTAAGTAGGCAAATGAACTCAAACACGTCATGTTACAATTCTTTTGCTGCTTGCTACAAAAGGAAAACTTGCGTGGCTCTCATGTCAGGGGTACTTGAGCGAGTGACATGCAGGCTCTGCATGCACAGCAAACCACCAATCACAACCATTCTTGATCAGATCACAGCAGGATAACCGAGCTAGCTCAGCGTGTTGCTCTGATAACATAACATCCAGAAGTCCGTGACTAAAATCCTTCATCCGTTTAAATATTGTTAAACAAATACCAATTGTATAGCACTAAAGTTCAAGAAAGGATGGTTTGCGGAAAAAAAAACACGCTCTTTTCTTCAATTCCTGTATTTTTTCATATCGCAATATATATCGCAGGGGAAGAAAATATCGCAACGTCAGTTTTTTCCAATATCGTGCAGCCCTAATAGCAGGAGGCCTCACCTGAAGTGACCCATTAAATCTGCATGTTCTTCCTCTTATACCTGGGTTAAATCTGAATAAAAAAGCACAGTACACAGATTTAGTTTGATTTAATTATCTCCAATGTCCATCTAGAATAAAAAATCCTCTTTAAAAAACATAGACAAATGACTTGTATCATTATAAATATTTAGGTAATCACGTAGGACTTATTTGAATGCATGATGTTTTTAAAATGCATAATATAAGTGGAGAAATCCAACTAAAGAAGATAAATGGCAAACTATAGTTGATCAGTGGGATGAACTACTGTAGGAGTTTGTTTGAGATGTCCGCCCTGAGGAAACACAGACGCCTCTCAGAGTAAACAAGAGAAACTGTTCAATACTTCAGCCTAAAGTTCACTGACAGTTCTGTTTTCATGGAGGGACATGTTTAAACCAGTAAAGAGTATCAGTCTTTTATTAACATAGAATGCATAGGGATTAAGATCTGGCTTTAGCAGGACATTTAACATTTCAAATAATTGTTTTGTTGCTCTCTGGTGGACAAACTATGTAATGGAGTTATTTTTTCTATAGATAAATTCTAGTTTTGGCACTTTATTGAATACAATTTCTTGTTAAATATCGTCCCTTTTTAATATTAATTTTAACAGATAATTTCCAGCCAAAACACATAGAAGAGAAATTAAATTCTGTCTGTTAGTATCCTCATGGCTGATTGCACCTTTTCTAAATATCTCTTTCCCTGTGTGTCCTCCAGGTGTGACGCACGCCTCAGTTTGGGCCGCCTGCATCTCCTTCCTGAGCGCGGCGGTGCCTCCGGCCCTCAGGACGTCTGCGCAGGGCATCCTGCAGGGCCTGCACCTCGGGTTGGGCCGCGGCTGTGGGGCCATGGTGGGGGGCGTGTTCGTCAACTACTTTGGTACGACACAACATCGGCATCACAGTCACACAAAAGTGAGAAGTATTCCACAGTTACTTACAGTTTTCCTCCCGTTTGCTTTGCAGGCGCTGCGGCGACGTTCAGAGGCATCGGCATGGCCTCCCTCGTCATCCTCCTCATCTTCTCCTTCATCCAGTGCCTCACCGCGGAGAACGAGGACAAAGGTCGGTCATTTTCTGTATTTCTTTTAGCGGACAAAGCTACTTTTTTGTTTCTGATATTGCAGACATTTCTATATAAGTGAAATAAATACTACCAAACCTTATGAAATCTAAATCTTTGAGACATTCAGTGTTATCCTTTCTGTCTCTGTAACATGTCCTCTCTCCTTTTAGACGATAAGATGTTGGCGGAGAACATCCCGGTTCCCTCCAGCCCGGTTCCCATCGCCACCATCGACCTGGTGCAGAACCAGAGCGGCACGGGCAGCCCAGCGCTGACCCGCCCCCCCACCACGCTGCCCGTGAAGAAGACCAAACACCAGGAGGACCAGGAGGACGTCAGCAAGCCGGCCTGGGTGCTCTCCGGCGCCCCCTGGGTCACCGTGGCCTTCGCCATCGTGCAGATCAGAGAGATGATGAAGATGACGAAGAACAGTGCGCCGCCATCAGAGACTCAACCGCTGCAGGTGAATCAATAAATACAAACCATGTTCAGAAATACATTTTAAAAAGTAAAGAGGCATGTTTTACCTAAATCAGAAGGTTCTATCAAGTAGCCGGTGTCCTTTATTCACAAAATATTCAATAATATTGCAGAACTATAGTTAAAGAGTCAAAGTACCAGAGTATTGTGTTTTTAACCTAAAGTAGAAGGTTCATTCCAAAGTACGGTGTCCAAGGTAGGATAAAAACTACAAAACACAAGACATATATTCGACATATATACAGAAATATGGCCTGCTTATACTCTCCTCTGGTATATTTCTGTTTATTGAGCTGGGACTAACTATATAACTATACTTTTATATCTTTGAGAATCTGGGTTGGATATTTTCCTTCATTTTATTACATTTCATACCAAATTATTATTGATTAATCTCCTAAATAAACAGGAGATTAATCAATAATAATAAAAAAGGTTATATCCTGGTGTTTCCTCCTCATATTATACTACTAATAATAATACTAATAATACCCTTTTTATGTGTGTGTGATACTTTAAAGTGTGTGTATCAGGATGTCTCTTGAACTCACACTAACCTCATCTTTCTGCCACTTCCTCCCCTAACCGACTGCCCACACACACACACACACACACACACTCTCTGAAGAAAGGTGAGACGTTTTTTGCGTGCGAAGGTCAATGGAAAATTACTGTGTGTTTGTGTGGGGGGGGGCGTCCAGTGTTTCCTGTGTGTGTGTGTTGATGCATGCGTTGACTCATCTGTAACTTTGTGTGTGTGGTATGTGGGCGTGTATATGCATGCATACGTGTTTGCGAATCTCCCACGCCTTCGTGTCATGACGCAATGTGAGGTGCATGCCCTAATTCCCCCCCCTCCCCCCTCCCCCCTCCCACGTTTATGTGACCCCCCGACCCCACCCTCGTCCTCCTGTCAGCCATGTTGGATTTCCTCCTGAAGATGGACAGGCAGAGTAGCGCAGCAGAGAAGTTAGAAGAGAAGGGAAGTGTGTTTTGAAAAAATATAAGCTAGTCTAGTTAGCACTGAGATAGATACAAGATGCTAACGGTTAGCAGAGCTGGAATGTAACTAAGTACTTTTACTAAAGTACTAATTTGACATGATTTTATTTTCCTCCAGTGTTTCTATTTACTAGTTTTCTTAGCTAGCTATTTCTTAGCTTGAAGATGATTTTCAAAATAAAAGCCCGTCCGTGTTGCAGCTTGTTGTTACTGTTTGTTCCTCTCGTTGCCAGGTACCTAATGAGCAGGCGTCGCCCGAGTGCGAGGCGGTGTCGTTGCCGTACAGAAACCCGTGTGATGACGGCACAGAAACTCCCACGCAGCCAGACACCACCCGCCCCAAAGCACCCACAGACTAACGAGGACAAAGACCAAACGCACCCTTTCTCACCCAGAGGAGAGGAAAACCCAGCCTTCACAGGCGAAAACACACACTGACTTTTCATTAGAGACTATTTCATTCACACACAGCTTTAGTGTGTATTTGTGTATGCTGCAAAGAGGATTTAGTCTTAAAATCTGATTGCAGGTACTTCTTAGAAATGAGTCAGTATCTTGGAAAAACGTATTTATTTGGATTTATTGTTAAATTTTGCAGAAAATATCCTTTAAATCTTGAAACGAGTAGCTAATACTGCAACTCTTTTTTAACATGGGTTGTTTTTGCAAAGCAGAGTTTGTTTAGATGGAACTGGAGGTGCGCTTGTTTGCATTTGCCCCTCAGAGGTGATCAAATCCAACTCACCCTGTGCACTGTGAACTGCCCTTTACCGGTGGAGTGTGAAGGAAATTCCTTCGAAGTTATTTATAAACTAATTGACTTTAAAGAGTGATGAAATTTGAACAAATGGGGATTTAATCCAACATTTGTATCGTAAAATAACATGAACAAACCTATGCTGGCCAGAAAGTTAGGTAAGAAATGACCAACGATGGAGGTTGTTATATGGCAGAAATTACAACATTTAAGAGATCTTTTGAGTTTCAAACCGTTTGCACACAGCAGTACGTGCAAATAAATATACAATATTAGTACAAATTAGCCATGTTAGAGAAAAAAAAGGGTATAAAATACGATTTAAAATGTGGGTTAACAAAAACCTAAAACTACATTTAGAAATAGTTTTTATATACTTTTGGGGAAATATTTGGTATTACGCCTTAAATCCAGCTCTTAAATCCTGCAGAAACCCTGCTATGATATCCTTTTAATATATTTCATTATTGTTAAGTTTTGTTTTCAGAAGTGCTTTTTCCCTTGCAGGAATCGAGCACATTTTCATGGCCTTTTGGGTAAAATAGGTGTTACATTTGTTCCTAATTGCAGGTTTAGATGACAGGAAAAATGTATTTGCATCTTTTCCCCTTTTGTTTCAGATTCCATCACTTCTCTAAAAAAACGATCCACTTTTAATACTGAAGAAGTGCCTCTTAATCATGGTTATTGTTCTCACTTATTATTATAAGATGTCATGCAAGGATCCCTTTACTGCACTCCTATACAGACAGATCCGTCACACTGAGGCTCTTTTTAATATTTTTATATTGAAGCTGCCAATAGCCGACTGACACACGATATTTACCGTCTTTGTTTTCCTTTCTCCTGCCAAACAATTACCCAGTGTTCTTTGTTTCAGTGTCGTCTGGATTGAGAAGCCTTCAGAAACAGAGCTACATGAAGGAAGTCAGGGTTTCTTTTCTTGTGTAAATTAAATAATGAAAGGAGGTTTTACCTTCTAATGCAGTATCTGTATCTTAATCACTTTGGTTAATAACATTATTAAATATTTATCTCACTATTACACTCCAGATGTGTTTGTTTATTCCCCTCATGTGGTACGATTTGAGACATTTAGAATTTAAAACGGCCCTAATTTGCCTCAACTTTAAAAGTGATTTTCTAAAGTACAAGATCTGAATACGTCTGCCGCCGCTAAAATTAAATTGTTTTTTTAATTTTGCATATCTTCTTAAAAGTAAAACCTTAATTATTAAACTACCTACTAAAAATAATCATTTCAAATTATCAGGAAAAGTACCTTTTTATATATTACTTTCGATGCAGTTTGAGAAATCAGCCACTTGATGGCAGTAGCGTTTTAGTGCTGTGTGTGTGTGTGGGGGGTTATTGAGGTCGTGGTGCGCCTGCTACTGATGGGTGTGTGTGGGAGGACAGTAATAGGCTTCCTCAAAAACTAGACTGTCATAAAAAAAGAAAATCAAAACCATCTTGGCACACTCAGCCTGTCTGATATCCGCCGAGACGTCCTTGCTTTTATTTTATTTTTGTCTTAAATAATGATCAGAATAATAATGTTGCACGAGCTGCGACACTTTTTAGATTTAAACAACACAGAGGATCGAGAAAAAACTGCTTTTTATTCCCTAAAATTGCCAAACTGACCTACAGATGTTTCCAATTACTGGAACAAATCATATTAATTATTTAATTGTCTTACTCGTGGGACAGGAGGACAGTCAGATATTTATTTGCAGTGACATGTTCCTGATTAAATCATGTGGAAACAAGTCAATATTCATAATAATTGCTCTTTTATTTTGTTTTTAACTATATCAAAACTATCAGGACGTTGGGACTTAATTTTAGTAGCAATAAAAGCATATTTAAATAATTTCCCACCATCTTCTTGCTTTTCTCTCTGCCTTTTGCTTAAATAGTAGATTTAAATGACACAGGGTCGTGAAAAATAGGCTTTTTATTCCCTAAAATGCTCTAAGAATTGCAGCACTCACCTACAGATGTTTCCAATTACTGGAACAAATGGTATCATGTTTGTTAATTTATTAAGTGCATTGCTTGTGAGTGCTTAGATCATGTAGAAAAATAAAAGTAATTATCATAGTTATTAGTAATTAGTTTTTAAACTATATAAAAACGGTTGCAAAAAAGGATATTTTCCTTTTTGTATTATTTCATTTGACCCAATGCACCAGATGTGCTATGCCACATCCTCCACACCTGAGCGTTAAAAGCATACTCATCGGATGCTAATATCTCATAAATGGCATTTTCACAATTTAGTCCATTTTGTTCCCTGATTAGCATCCTATTAAAAAAGCATGACTGTTATTATAATAAGTCGTTCTTGCCCAGATACAACCTGAGGCTATTTATAGTTTCACTCGTCCAGCGCTGATGGAGAGACCTGAGGAGGCGATCTGTTGAATCAAAGTGATGAGATGGACTCTCCGGAGACGTCTGGGACCATTTCTGGGAGAAAACTGCCGTTTAAATGACCAGGGTATATTGCCTCTAAATAAAAAGTAGTAAAAGTAGCAATACTCAAGTGTAAAAATACTCTGTTACAAGTAAAAGTCAGGCAAATTCTCCCTTATCCCCAGTGCAAGCTGACATTAAAAAAGGCCATATTCCGCTATAGCCCCTAAAGCCCCAGATTAGCATGGCGTTCAGTTGTGACTGCTGTGTGTTCACCATGTAGTGAAACCTGCACAGAGCTGCAGGAGCTGACTAAGTAAACTGTGCAGTGTAACTGAGCAGACCACAGAGTGGGCCATGGGTTAAAGATGGCTGATACAGAACCCCCGCCCCCCCTTCTCTATGGGTTAGACCCCCTGCAGCGGTGCATTCAGGACCACCTGAGTCAGCCTGAGTCAGACTGGAGACCGCAGACAGTCGTGTTTCTGGCAGCATGCTGCACACTACATATCACTCGGCTGCCTCTTACTCGCCTCTACTGTTTGCTACATTTTAAATCACACATTTGAATTATAAAGACATCCAACAGGGTCTGCATGCTCCAACACTATGTGGTACTTGTATTTATTTACAGTGTCATTAGGGCATTAGAACAGAGAAATATTCCTAAATGTAGTAACCTAACTCTTGATTTGCAACCCATACATCGGCCACAATGTATCCACAAACCCTGCATTGATCTGAGAACCCCCTCCCCTGGTCCTTGTATACCTGTTAGATGTATTTTTTTACAGTCACGTAACAGTATTTAATTGATTTGTTTATTGTAGGGACAGTAATCAGAATCAGATGTATTGCCAAGCAGATTTGCATTTCCAAGGAATTTGATTAGGTGTACAATGGTGCATGCAAAAACACAGTTAGATTAATTAAGAAGTGTGTGTGTGTGTGTGTGTGTGTGTGTGTGTGTGTGTGTGTGTGTGTGTGTGTGTGTGTGTGTGTGTGTGTGTGTGTGTGTGTGTGTGTGTGTGTGTGTGTGTGTGTGTGTGTGTCAGGGTGTCAGGGTGTGTGTGTGTCAGGGTGTCAGGGTGATGCTGCAGTGTGAGCGGGTGCAGCAGAGTGAGATGAATTGGAGCTGACAGCTGTCATGGCCGCTCTGCCTCCACCCCACTGCCAGCGTTCAGCCTCTGTTTACAGTAAAGTGGGGACGCTGCCATGTCACCTGTGCACATAGCAATACCAATTGTAATCTTGATTCAATTTGATTAAATTATGTGTTTTTTGTCTTCAATGCAGGGAGGAGTTGGCATGAACCAGGCTTCATATTCAACTTCAAATAGAGCGGACGTTTTTGGACCCACTGCAGGTATTTAAAGTTTGTATTTGTCTGTCTAACACACAAAATGTAGCAGATTATCCAGGGAGTCAGGTTTAATACATTCAGGTTATAATGAGGTTTATTGCCCACTAGGTGTAACAAGTGTACAAATAAAAGCAAGGGTTGCAAAATCAACAACAAAGACAATAAGAATATGATTCAACACTATGGAGAATATGTAGGAGGAACATTAATATATTATTGTACATTATTGGAATAAATGGGCAGTTTTTGGGCAAAAAATGTGCACACTTCTTTAAGAATGTGCAAAGGTTCACAGTACGATGTTTAAGAGATAATAAAGAAATAAAGTCAATAAGAAAAAACACTATGAAAAAAGTAAAGTAATCAAATGTGGCTCCAACACATTGTACGTGTTAGTCTAAGGGGCGGGACATCTCTAAGCGGTCACTACAGAGGTGGCCAGCTAACCAATCAGAGCAGACTTGGCTCCCACTGTATTTTATTTTTGAAAAACCTTAAAGGTTGCCTTCAGGGTCCACAGTGTGCAGGCACGGTAATGTATGTTAAAAACATCTTAAGCACATTACAAGCATGCCATTCTGTTTGTATAATCACATTTGGAAACGACATGCATCATTATCAAGGGAGCAAATTAACATTTTCATCCACCGGTCACAATGGTTGCTGCTTCCCAAACTAAGATTCACCGTCTCACCAGCCAAATAGGATTCTGGGGAAAAGGAGAAAGGGTCTCTGCTATCATAGAAGATGATCGACAAACAGTCCCATCAGTGATAATGAACTCACCGTCAGTGCTTCATGTATTCCCTCACAGATTATAGACTTATAATGGACATGCATTATTAATCATTAAAAATCAATGAGAGGCTGCGAGGAGTGCTGTAAGTCTATGATGTGGTTAATGATGGATTATTATGCTAATTACCACCATATGAGAGCACAGGGGATATACGGCTCTACACAGTGAAGTGTCACTAACCGGACTAATTACAGATAAACCTCCTTTTCCCAGATGCATCAACATCTGCAACAGATGCTGCCGTCAGACGAGAGGACGGACTGCAGCTTTCAGAAAGTAAGATTAAAAACCAGGAACCCATACGTTCATTATATTAATCTTTTATGTTGAATAAGCTTCAAATTAAACTTCACATATATAGAATTGTAATTTTCATCAGTGTTTGCCATCGTTATAACAATTTAACTCGTGTTTCTTGCCAAGCCTGACTTCTATTTGGTGATTCCAAGTCCTTTTGTCGTCATAATTGAAGAAATGATGGGTAATAACACACTTAATGACTAAATGGTTCCCCATCTTAATTTCTCTGCACTCTTAAGATCTCTCCAGTTAATCTTGGTGATTCAAATGTAGGTTTTCAACAGCTCTCTGAAAAGAATTCCCTCCTTTGTGGTGGAACAATCACGCGTTTCAATAGTCTGACAGAACTCATGGTTATCTAACAGCAGCCCAGAAACATGCGCAGATGATATTTATATCTGCATTGCCAAAGCCAGGTCAGTTGATTTAGTTGTCTGATGTACTTTTGCATATTTTTGTCTTATTTTATGTCTTTCTAATGTCGTCTTTGGGCTGGATTGAAAAAAAATAACACTTTTTGAACTATTGATATTGATTTCTGGTATACCTGTTATCCTACAAAGATCCTTGCAGTCTCAACAGTTTCCCAACCTCCCTCACTGCCCAAAAGTCACGATCAACGCTTCACCAGCAGAAACTCCAGGTACTTTTTGTCTCTCCTCAGCAGCCATGAAGTTTGAGAGAAGCTCTGCAGCGTGACCTTTCCCCCTCTCCAGGCAAACACCTCCACACTGCAGCAGCACCACCACCACCACCGCCCCCCCACCACCACCACCAGGCTGCCTGGACCTCACAGCAGAATCTCACGGTACAACAACTCACACAAACTTCACACAGTTTCAACACAGGGATGGCTGATATTAACGGGCACTTCTTAGAAACTGCTATGCCAGCAGGTTTTAATCACATATCATATTTAGTTCTCTGATCTCTGACTGTGATTCCAAAGATGTAATATTAAAGATCCAGAGGTTTTATTTTTCATATGCACAATAGCTACACTGTCGTTGTTGGCCATTAAAACTGGAAGAAAAAAATAAAGTATATATCATTTTAAAATAAATAAATAAACACTATTATAATTATTATGATTATAATATATAAAATATATATATATATGAAAAATTAAACAAGTATACAAAATAAATAAAAAAATATCATCAT